ATTCCTCGTTGAATGGCGGCAAACGCCTCAGCGAGACCTGTCAGTGCAGATGAGCAAGCAGTGCGGATAGTCATGCTATACAATGTCAGCCGCTCAGTACTTGCGAAATCGGAATGGTGGAGCAAACCTTGGTCCGGTCAATCCAAACTCATAAGAGATACGATTCGCAAGCATCCAGTCTTGGTAACCATCAATCTTATTTGCACCGTGCCAAAGCGGGTCTCGGTTCATCATCTCTCCCCAGTCCTCGCACATGTTTCCGAAGTAACAACCAATCTTTTTGCCCTAGTGTCAATGTTAGCAGGAGTGGATATATTTCTGAGGATAGTTCGAAAGAGCGTACTCTAAAGTTGGCTTCTCCAGCGTCCTCGAGTGCCTCCATAACCACTTCCAATAGGTGTCGTTGCTGAGGGTCAGAAAACTCGACATCGGCACGGCTCATAGAAAACCGACTGGTATCCATGGCACCGAGCTTGACATCTTCGTCAAGGAAGTATCCATATTCAGTGGCTACAGTCGTAGGCCGCTTTGTGGTTTCGTGGTAGGCTGACACGTTGTAACGTGACATTGGAACTCGGACCCTGCCGTCCCCCTTGTTGATGAGGAACTCCCAGAATTCCTGAGGAGTGGTATTTCCTCCAGGGAGTCGGAGACCCATACCACAGATTGCGATGGGGATGGTCTCCTTGTTAGCATCATCCACGTGCAAGCCATTGGTGCCATTGGCATGCGATCCGCCATTGATACCGTTCTCGTGCGAACCACCATTGACATAGCTGTTGGTGCCGTTAGTACCGTTGGTACCGTTAGCATGACCATTAGTACCATTAGTACCGTTAGCGTGGCCATTGGTGACGTTCGTTCCGTTTGTGATCGACATGTTTGCTGCTGGATAAAAATTCTTGTCGGAAAGATGTCACGAGATTCCCTGTGGATGACTTCTGGGGAGAGATTGTTTGCGGAAGAAGCGTGGTGATGATCGCGAGTTGTCTTGCTTTCAATCTGAGGGACTTTGGATTCTAATTATCCTCCTACAACTCCTCGACATCTTCGGGCCATGAAGCCATGAAAGCAACATCGGTTGTCGGAGTGAACGCCAACGGAACTGAGCAGGCAGCATCCATTCTCCCCGGTTGCTGAACCTCGGAATCTAGACCTCATACGAGACTCTATCGGTCCTTGGTAGCAAACGTCATTAGCACTCCGAATCACGATCTAGGCACAACAATCGGTGCGTACGCAGCCGGGCTTGTAGTCAAACTTGAAAGAAACATCAAGCAATACGCCCCGAACGAGCTCATTTTCAGCCGCCTCCGATCTGATGGAACGAGCTGCAACATGCGCTTGGCTGACCGTGGTAGGGATTGCGGCTAATCACAAAACCCACTCCGATGCATCACGCCAAGAGCCCGTGAGTCACGTGATCGACTTGGCCCATGCAAGAATATCCGTTACTCTAGAAAGTTCTTACTTTGAAAAAAAATAAGCCTTTCCCTGCGTTAACCTCCTACTGGAATATCGGAGTTTCCATTCCGGTAAGACGTGGCGCTCAAACGAGATTTTGCTGATTTGTAGGTGGTTGTTCAATATGTGACACAAAACTTGTTTGTATTTCGCAAGGCCGACACTTCACTGAGATTTTGCGGCTCTCGGACGCGGTAAAGAATTTCGGCATCCAGTATGTTTCGAACTCGTTTGGTGCCCGAGAGGGATCGACCCGGACCCAGGGTCTCAGGCACGCTTTTCGCGTGCAACATCGGCCGTGAGGTCTATAGGAACTTTCCGTCAATGTTGAGTAGTAAGGCCGTGAAACGGACAGAGAAGTCTCTTTCCCTAATCAGTAAATGCTTTTGTATTTACCTCAACACACCGCAATATATAAATGTAAATGTACATCCCCAATAACACTCAATGATCACCACACAGAATCCTGCCACTCTTTGCGAAGAACTTGGCTACTTTCACGTCAAAGACATCATCCACCAGATCCTTCTTCAACTTCGACAGCTCACTACTTTACTCCCTCGTCATCATGGTAGCCAAGACCGCTGAGGGCACGAAAGATCTCGGGGCCCAATGGAGAGAAGAATGGGCTGCTGCGCAGAAAGTCAAGGCGCCGAGCATGAAAAACAGCTCGGTGTTCTACCGCAACATTGAGGAGGAGCTCGACATCAACCGAAAGCAGGGTCTATCGTTCCCAATCCATCTCCCTAGTCACACTGTTGATTTCTCCACTTGCGATGTTCTCGGGATGAACCATACTGGCGCACTGAGGGAAGAGTTCCTCAAAGAACTTGACGCCAACCCTAACTTCTACATGGGCGCGGGCGGCTCGCGACTGTTGGACGGAACTACGACGTACCAAGATAACTTCGAGAAGGAGCTGGCAGAGCTTATGGGTGTCGAGTCGGCGCTGGTAGTTCACTCTGGATACACCGCCAACCAGGCCATCTTCTCGACCGTCCCGAGATCTGGCGACGTGATTGTCTACGACGAGTTGATGCACGCTACGGCACTTTCCGGCATGAAAATCGCTTTGGCATTAGATCAAAGACCCTTCCGCCACAATGATGTAGACCACTTTATTGAAGTCATGGAAGGCGTCAAGGAATCGAACCCACTCGTCAAAGCTGGCAAGCGTTGTGTCATCGTCGGTGTCGAGAGCTACTACAGTATGGACGGTGATATCTGTCCTCTGAAGGAGCTCATCGAAGCCGCCAAGGATATTTTTCCTCAGGGTAACGCCCAATTCATCGTGGATGAGGCCCACAGCTTCGGTGTTTGCGGCCCTGAGGGAACTGGCTTTGTTAGAGAACAAGGTCTCACCGATGAAGTTGCAGTCACCATGGTCACGTTTACCAAAGCTCTGGGCGGATGTGGTGGTAAGTATACTCGATATCCTAACTCTATGAGTAATGCTGATATTCCTCCAAGCGGCCATCTTGTCCAACAATACGATTCGCTCGCTCCTCACTACTCAAGCTAAGATGTTCATTTGCTCCGTTGCACCTCCGTTCACTCTGGTAGCGTCATGCCGTGCTGGAATTCGACTCATGCGATCCCAGAAGTTTCAAGAGGTAAAGTACACACCGCCATCATAGTCTCAGTTTTTCCACTAACTTCCTTCAGGCTCGCGAGTATCTTCACGATCTCACCGTGTTCTACTTGGATACACTGACCTCGCACCCCATCTACAAGAAGGCCAAGAAGAAGGGTTTGGTCGACATGCCAGTTCATGAGGATGGTGCTTGGCATGAAGTACCAATCACCCACATCGTGCCCCTCTGGGTCCGTCGTAACAAGGCCGCACTTTACCTTGCCTTCCATCTCACCAGAGATGGGTTTAACGGGTGCAACATCATGTTCCCCATTGTTCCCAAGGGCGAGGACCGAGTGCGCTTGTTCCTTCACGCGCACAACACCAAGGACGAAGTCAAGGCGTTGATCGACTCTATCACTACTTGGCTCCAAGAAATGATGGACATTGAAGCCAGTGGTGATAAGAACAAGCTTCCAATTGCAGCACGTCTCGCGTTTGATCTCCTCGAAAACGATAAGGAGGCTACCAAGGAGGCTACTGAAACCGACACGAATGGTGCTTCTGAGAACACGAAGCCGATGAGCAAGGACAACAGCGGTACGAAGAACCTTATGAACGGTATTAGTTCCTTCAAGAACAGTCAGTTGGTTAGTGGGTTGAAATTTGGGGAGCTACCCACGCGCATGTTCTAGAACAGGTGTTTTTATTATATAGTCTAGATCTAGCTTACGGCGTTTTCGATATTTAACAATACAACTTCTTTTTCAAACTATTTACCATGCACTTTCTTTCCTACCTCTGTGATTTTTGGTTTTTTCTGAGATGAATTTGAAAAAAGGTAATAGACTTATTCGACCTTCTCAACGAAGTATTTCATAGAGCATGAGTTTTCGCAAATTAATGAATACTTCCTTGGAATGATTACTCAAGTATAACATTCTGGGGCTATAAAACTCTATCCAATCAAGATCTTGTGGTGCAGATAGGCATATTCCCTTCGAAACTCGTTTTTTCCTATTCTAAATATGTAAAAACACAATTAGAGCACTCTAAATCATTGAATAAAGAAAACCTGCTTTTTACTTTAAATCCTCACGCCATATCAGGTTTTCTCTGTTCTAATGCCAACTAGCCTTCGTTAGCTTTAACCTTTTATGAGTATTGCTGTTTTTCATAAGTCCCCTATCTCTACCCTACTTCAGATAGTTATAGAAGGACTTGATACGGAGTCATTTAACATGTTCTTGTTGTTATCTGATGCATTATATCTATGCAGAAGGGAAGATGGTATCCAGATAGGGAACTACTGTTATAAAACTATTTCTAAGCGGGAACTGAAATTTCATGTGCGAAATATGTTAGCAACAAAAGCTCATAATATCTTGTATGATTTTCCTCACACACTTGATGTTCACTTTGCGCGAAGCGGCACACTATTTCCTAGGGCGGATATCTCTGACCTAAAAATGCGATGGGCGAATAGATTTGCAGATGAACTAAAGGCGAAACAACAAAAGCATATTTGAGATCTTTCTCGGTCAACGCGTGAGCTTAAGATAACGTATCGATGTAATAAATTCACAAACAAATCGATACAGTCGCATATGTGACGGTATGAAGTTCTAAGTATTAGAGATATAAGCTAATCAGCTAATCTCTGACATAATCCGGGTGCTCGGCACTATACTTAGATTCTTTAGTTAACCAATCCCTAAACAATTTATCTATCTATTACGTCTATAGCTACGTAATCTACTACTAGATAGATTCTTCTAGAATCTAGTACAGCTAATATATATAGTAGTAGAATAGCTAGTAGATAGAAACCAGAACAGAACATAAGAGCAGATCGGATCAATCCAATTCTTTAATCTCTCTCCCATAGCATTATTTCTTTCCTTCCTACCTAGAACCTATCGATTCGCTACCTCTGAGTCTATCGCTAGACAAGTAGACGACTCTACCTCTGAGCTGGCTATAGAACAAGTAGCACCCTCCTTATTCCAACACTAAGCACATAAAGAAGCTACCACTTAGATGGTGGAGGTTTTCAAGTCTGTGTTCGCGCAACAGTCCATAGCTTGGATATCCCACAGATTCCACCCCATCAATCTTACCAATCACTTTCCCATAGCAATGCTATCTAATCCCGTCAACCAATCTCTCTTCTACATACTGGCTCTTTCTTGGGCCACAAACTAGAGCATTGTCCATCTTACCAATACGTCTTACCAACACATCTTTCTTACTTTTTAGGAGTCCACTTATCTCCGTCAGCCCATCGATCCAAGACCAGCCCAGCACTACCAGGGTTACGATAACCAGCCTCGACCTGCTTCTCATAACTGATTTGACGAAGTCTTTCTGTTTCTCTAGGAGTCATTCGCAAATACAACTCCACGCCGATCATGTGAAGAAACAGGCAAATCCAAAGCTAAATCACAAACCCGTCAGTCGCCTGAAGCTCATCTCACATTTTACCAGCAGTACCCTGGGATCAAACTTACCATGGTGCTAAACGACGCCACAGCACTCGCACCAAACTGCTCCAAGTGATTCGGGTCCTCCCTCGCAGCAACCGCAACCCGCTTCCAGCGATTCAGCGATCCATCCGGCAAGATACACTCCGGGTAGGTCTCCTGCGGAAATTCCATTCCAAGATTCATGTAAAGGAAATTGATCTCATCGCACATCCACACAGCCCAATAGTTGCCAATCTTTGTAATAATGCTCCTAGCCGCAAAATTGATGACGCGCGCCGTAATCGTAACAGCCATGTAAAACATGGTTCTCAGCATCCACGCACGATGCTGTTCAATCTGCTTGCGCCGAATATTCCACCACCCCATGAAAATTCCAATTGTGGTGATAATTCCCATGAGTGTTTCCACAGCGTGGCTATTAATACGATTGCCGCCCTGCTTGTGACGAATGACGACGAAAGCGGCAGCGTTACTAATCAGACACAGCAGCAAGACGACGTAGCCGTTGAGGCGGTGGAACAAAATCCATTTGTGGCGGATGATGGGGGTGAATTGGAAGGTCATAAGGATTCCAGCCGGGAGGATAGCAGCGAGGTGGATTAGCATGCCGTAGCGGTAGGAGCCGCTGCGGAAGTAGTACCAGTAGCCGGGGACGAGGGCGAAGTTTCGCTTGAAGTAGCCGTCGTAATCGAGGTCGCCGAGGCGGGAGAGGGAAAAACCGAGCATGCCGCCCGCGAAGATTACCCCTGGGATGGAATTGTTGGGTTTGTACTTTGGGTAGGGGGGGGGGGGGAAGGTTTAAAGGGTAGATTTACATAGTGGGAAATTGTATCCTTTGTTGAATCCGAAGAAGCGATATACCTTTCGATATGCAATTGCATATTTGTTGGTGTGCTCTTTCGTCTCGGATGCGGAGCTGACCTCACTGAGGTTCTGAGTGTCCTCCGATTTGATCATGGCGACGGAATGGGAGAGTGAAGGGCTTGAGATACAAAACTTGATATTGACAATGAAACAAAAAGATCTTCGAATGTAGTGTTCTGTACTTTCAAAGGGAAAAAAATATTTTAAGCATCGCTGGAGCTCATATACACGACCATATGGACATGGCACGCGAAACCTTCCGCTCCAGTACCCGTAGCCGCTCTGACCGTGACTGCGTGACACTGCAGCCGCTGATCTCCGATGCTCAGTTAGTAATGCTCGAAATATCACTCCATCGGAGACTTGGGGATCGCTCGAGCCAAGGTTTTTGTTCGTGCGGAGACGGTAGCTTCAGTAATCGGAGATGGTGGCTTCAGCAATGAGAAACCATGTTCACGGGATCCGACTGCTCTGCCCGAATACTTCCGCCCCGATAATGATGCTTGCATTAATATATTTAAAACTTAAAATTTCTGGAGTGAGGCGATTACAAATTTTGCATGTCGTCATCCTCCGGTTTCTGCTGCATCCGCTGCCCCTCTGCATGTATCCCAAGAAATGCCAAGACCCCGATGGTTGTCAGTGTAACCTGGAACCAGGCTTTCCTATTGCAATGTTTTCGCGGTGTTTGTAGTCCCGCTCCGTCTTGATCCTGGATTATTAATCCATGGAGACTAACTATCAGTATATTTGGCCATTGAGAAGAATGCGAAACGCAAGGCTGCTGTTCAGCGGCCATGGCTTTTATTGCTGAGCTGTTTGTTGAAAAACCTCAATGAAGGTCGAATAGCTCGTATTGGATGCAAGTCAGAAGCATAGAAAGTTTTCTAAGCCATGAAAATTTTGGATAGCGTAGCTCATTTCGACGTCGAAATCATTACATATTTGGGTTTAACATCCTCTAGAATAGATATGAGGTCTTATACGAGACACGTGGCAAACAGGCCTAGTGCTATTATCATTTGATGTCGATACATTCCATGGGTTGTATTTTGACTTTTACTAAGTCGTAGTATCTGGAGTGGTGTAGATAAACTAGGTGGGTTCGGGATGCGCAGTGATCAAACAGGAGAATTCTATGGAAGCTTCTTTAGCGTCAAACTTCTAAAACCCCTAGTCTCAGTAGCAGGATAATCATAACAATTCTCTTCCTTAATAGGAATGGCAAGAAAATTGCTCTCCCTTGTAGGGTAATGTACTATTGTAAAATGACACCTAGAATCAGAAGCATTGGGTTTGCAAACTTCTAGTCAAGATGAACACTGTTCAAAATTCACAATACGCGAGATCGCCGCATTTTGAATTTGAAACTGTCTGGAATAAAATTGAAGATATCTTCATCTATTTAGATACTCCTAATTATACCTTTTATCTCACATCCCTGACTCACTATATGCAGTAAGCGCCAGTTATTATCGAACCGAAATGCTATGAAAACCCCATACGAAACGCTGAGCTGACGCGTAGAAAACCTTAAACGATCGTTCCAGTAAGGTGAAAAAAGTGAAACTATGCCTTTCCGTCCACCAACCTCCTCAACTCCGTTCTCATGTGGGTCTCGTAGCCCAAATTCGATTGCCAATGCGTCATCTTAAGTCGTCTCAAGCCATGGCTGCGACTTGGCCACCACCCACTTTGCGGAACTAAAGATATGTCAGCAAAATGTGATCTATGCAATATCAATGAAGTGTACTTACACCAAGGAAAGGTGATAGAAGAGCCGTGATACCACTGGCAATAATGGTCATGATGTAAACGTTCCTCATTGCGTCGTTGATGACGTTCGCAAGCCGAAATTGTACATCTGGGGAGAAGCTCTTCCACTCTGGGCTGCTCGAGCCGGCAAGAATGGCACGCGGGTTGCCAGTAAAGTCGGATGGCAGGAACGGAACGATGACCTCGCGGCCCACATTTTGAAATACGTTGCCGCTGAGAGCGGGGAAGAGGGTGATTCCAATGCACTGCATGAGGCTGATGACACCAATAGCGTTGAAAACGTCCTTGGGCTCGACAACGTCCGAGATACAGCCAAAGGCGGCAATCATGTAGCAACCTCCGCCAATACCCAGCACGACGCTGTATCCGTAGATTGCCGAGACGCTTGTGCCAACGTCGACCGTGTACATGAGTGCACCTCCAACAACGGCCAGAAGCGAGCCAACAAGGAACCAAGGCATGTAGTAGCCCCATTTGGACATGAAGAAACCGTTCATAATGGCCATGAAGGAAACCATGAAGACGAAAGGAAGGAGTTTGACAGCAGCGTCCACGGGAGACTCGCCCTTGGCAAATTGGAAGAAGAGCGGGATGTAGTAGATGGGGATGTACACAGCCGCGGCAGCAGCGAAAGTGGCGAACTGCAGAATTCCCAGCTTGAAGTTTCGTAGTAGATGGCTAGGGTAGAGTCGGTTTTCCACGTCGATGAAGGGGTGGAACTTGTGGGTCAGGTAGAAGGCGATTGCGAGAACGCCGACAAAAACCCAAAGGATGATCATGCTGTAAGAGTCCCATTCGAAAAGGGTTCCGCCATAGGTGACAGCCATGAAGAAGGAGACGCACCAGCCTGTCCATACGCCTAGTCCAAGCCAGTCAACCTTATCCAGCCTCTGTTTGGCGGACTGGCCCTTTGCGAAATCGATGGAAGGCAAGATGAAGACTAGGACGGGCCCAGCCAGTGCGAAGATCAAGAGGTTGATGTAAAAACCCCATCGCCATCCGAGGCTACTTTCGGCGAATCCTCCGCCAACCTTTTGTATATAACGTCAGTCATGCATATGTAGTATAACAGGCCAAGTGGTAAAATACTTACGATTGGACCCAGGGCAGTTCCAATTCCCCACGTTGGAGAAATGAGAGAAATGTAGAGAGGACGCTCCTTGGGTGTAGTCACAACGCTGAAGAATGTCAAGGAGCCGACATAGATGCCGCAACCGCCAATACCGGCAATCATGCGTCCAACGATGAGAGAGTTCATGGTTGGAGATGCCGCAGATATGGCACTGCCCACCTCGAAGCAAACGACATAACCAAAGTAGAGCCATTTGATGTCGAAAGCCCCATACATCTTGGACTGAATGAGGGCAAAGGCAGTGGCTGGGAGGGCGTAGGCCGTGGCAAGCCATGGATACTTTTCAAATTCTCCTAGAGATGCAATAACGTTGGGCTGTATGTCTGCCACAACGGTGGTGTCGAGAGCGAAGAGGAAGACGCAGGAGAGAACAGCTGCGACGGTCATGACCCACTTGATGCCATGGATCTTACGCTCATACTCGGGTCCTCCGTCCCCTGTCGGCTCGGTCGTCTCTGGCGGCTTCTCATCAAGGACCGGACTCTGAGAGCGTCTTGGTTGTGTGTCGTTCATTTGAGCGCCGTTGTCAAGCGAACGTTTCGGCGACGGCGATGTATCGGGAGTAGAGGTGGAAGCGTATTTTTCCGATGATGCTGACATTGTGAAAGTGAGTTACTTTCTTTCGCTTGTTTGAGTGTAGTTTCTGGGCGTGTGTGTTATTAAGGGCAGCTACTGCCCACCACTACACAAACAGCCTTGTATGTGAAGTCGTTTGTCGTGTTTGCTATCTGCGCGTTTGTCCCGTATGAGGGGCGGAGTGTCGGCAAGGTGCACAGTTGGTAGGAGTGGAAGAGGGTTGATGACACAAGGTACGATGGAGTTTTGGGATGTTGGAATTATGCTATGATACTGTAGCTGGGAAGGGAATGGCTTTTGTATGTTCTGTGTGAAACGAACAGGCACGGCCCAGTTGATGCTTGTGAGATAACATGATTGAGGTAACACGACGATTGCGTGCCAAGATATGCAACTGGGTGACCATTGCCAGAAACAAAGGGGGGTTGCCTCGAAAACAGTATACATAAAAGGATGAAAAGCAGTCAAAAAATGTCAGCCAACAGCGTGAGCACATCAGCCTTGCCTAGAAGATTCCAGCTCAGGAACGGGTGCGGCACAGATTTCGGAATTAGGCAGCCAAGAAAACTCCAGCGCGGGCCCGATCGTGAATTGATGGCTAGTATGCGTCGATGCATTTCTCGAATTGGGGTTCAAGAGCATTCATTATTCAGCAACGTCCGACAACCAGATGCCATGAGACCACACCCCTGCCACGCTAATGCAGCCGGCTGACCCTCTTGTTTCGAATAATCACGTGACTGTCTGATCACCTGGTAGGTATCTGATTGGCTACATTGACTTCCTCTTACAGGGCAAGACCTCTACATCCTAAATCTCCTGACACGCTAATCATGCAACTAGCTGACCATCCATACCCAAAACACGTCATTGTACTACCCTTCTCCCAAAAGTGTAGGACCCCGCCCCCGCTCTATGAAAGTACTGTAGGAAACGGCATCTTGGCGTTCTCGCTTCACATGCGGCCCCGAGAAGCCAGTCTCATCGGCCCCCGAGCGTGCTTTCTCTGTCTTCGGTCTGTTTTGGTCTCCGCCTTTAGGAAACATCGTCTCTTTGCACCGAGAAGTGGAAGATACCTGCTTCCAGAGGACCGCGATACAGTACAGCATGTCGGTACCACTTATATTTAACGCGCGTGGCTAGGACAGCGGCTTCATAACTACAAAGAATTAAAAAAACTTCGCCTACTTTCAAATTGTCTATCGTTAGAAATCTGTTCATAATACGTTCTGATTTATTGCATTTCCTCAAGGCGTTGCAAGATTTGTTTCCGTAATCATACAAAATGTCACCCTCACTGGCAGCCTCCTCTTTGCTCTCCGTCAGAAAGTGGGTTGCGGTTGGTAAGCAGCAGAAGAGCCGAACATTGCTGAAGAGTCCTCCTTCTGACTGATATACGTAACCAGTAACTGGTGGAGGCACGGGAATTGGATTGAGTACGGCCACCTCACACAAAGCGCTGCTACCCTATCGGCGAGGCTTCACCTGCACAGCGCAGCGCCCTCCCATGAATCGGAGTCATTTGCCTACTAACTTATGTGACAAGTGTACGCAAAAGCCCTGGCTGCCAATGGAGCTAAAGTTTACATCACCGGAAGACGTCAAGAAGTCCTGGAAAAAAGTGCCAGCATCCACGGATCTGCAGACGAGGTTAGCGCTGCTGGGGGTCAAATTGTTCCCCTTGTCATGGATGTAACCAATAAGGATAGCATCAAGCATGCTGTCCAGCACATCGAAGAAGCTCATGGCTATATTAATCTGTAAGATTGTACTTCAATTATTGGACGCATATTCATAAGAGCAGTTCAGCTACTCGTTAGTCGGTTATTCCAAGAAACAAGCTAATGCTACGAACAGGCTTGTTAACAATGCTGGTGTGTGGACCACAAAGCCCGAGGCAGGGCCCGAGGATGGACCTGAAAAATTTGGTAACTCCATGTTTGACCAGTCAATTGATCTTTGGCAACAAGGTATGTTATCGCAAGAGCTTGGTTAAAGCGAATACTGTGCTGCGCAATACTGAACGTCTAAACTCAGCCTTCCTCGTCAACGCTACTTCCATCTACTTTGTAACAGCAGCTTTTCTCCCTCTACTAGCCAAGTCCATCTCTAGCCCCACTGGTAAGATGGGTAGTGTAATCAACACTACCTCCAACAGCGGCCAACTTAGGATGTAAGTTCTGACCTCGCATTCCTCCATTATCAAAATCCACGCTAAACGTCCCAAGGTCCGAAGCCTCACAACTAGCTTACAACGTAAGTCCCAACTCAACAGCCACTTCTCCACCCCTTTCTTGAGCTCTAACCCCACAACCAGGTCAGCAAAGCCGCATCTGTCCACATGACCCGCCAACTAGCCTTTGACTTTAGCCACGAGAACATCAAGATTCGCGTCAATGGCATCGCACCAGGTACATTTATTCACCCCGCCCCACCCTTGAAGTCCCCTTCCCAGTCCTATGTATGTTCTGGTTAAATAAACATACATCTAATATGCATGTGTGGCAGGCTGGTTCCCCTCTGAAATGACCACCGGCGGCTCCAACGAAAACAACGAGAGCACCGCACAGGACGATTCCGCTTTCCAACAGGAAATGCGAAATGTTGGGGCGCGTGTGCCTCCTGGCCGCATGGGCAAGGCTGAGGACTTGGCTAGTGTACGTTTTACTTACATCCAAGTTGCTTATATGGACGTTGCTAACCTGGGATTTGCTGATAGGGTCTCCTTACGCTCGCTACGAATGATTATATCTGGGGCATGAATCTTGTTGTTGATGGAGGTATTTTGCAAAGTGTTGCTGGGAATATTTAGGGGGCTTAATGGGTGGTGTTGCATCTTGTGAGGGGTTTCCAGGGCAATGGAGGAGTTGGGTAGATTTGAGAGGTAATGCGATAGTTTCTAAATTTTTTTGAATGCTTATATTAGCCTTGATCTAATGGGTGATATGAGGAATGAGATGAGAAGTGCAGATTATGCAAAATCGCTTAGGATATTACGGCGTAAGTTGAGTAGAGTGAACATTCAAGAGACTCTTGAGACGTGCTGGGGGAAGTCTTTGATCAAAACGATGGTGCTTCTCCAGCTTTGTATAATTCCCACACTGCCACTATAGAAAGTGTGAGGCATGTGGGGCGGATAAGTCACGTGAGAATATCGGGGTAAATGTCCGCAGGCTTTATTATGTGGGGAACTATACAAAGGATGTCGTACATTTTGCAGCGACGATCACACAGCAAGCAGTCTATGTCGTAATACATCAGAGTAGTATACCCGAGAAATGGAAGAATGTTTGTTCAACTCTACTACTCAACTATAGTACATTACGCAGCAGCGCTATTCTCCGCCAACACCCCGTTGCTCGCTTCTATCTCATCCATGCCCTTTCCTTGGCTCTTCTGTTTGCTCTTAAAGTACTGCGTAAAGTCATGTCGAATATTGTGAATGCTCTCGGCAATACTCTTGCCCCAGACGGGATCGTCGGCAACCTTTCCGCACATCTTCCAGAACTCCTCTCGCTTCTCTTCGTGCGCGGGGTCCCAGAGACGGTGGAAGTTTTCGCGGGACATAGGATCGATCATTTCGCGCCATATCTTGATGCGGATTTCGGAGTAGAGGTCAAGGATGGATTCGTCGAGCTCGTCAAGGTGGATTCCGGTGAAGCAGTCGTAGAGAGAGCCGACGTCGGCGAAGCCACCGGTCAGGCCCAGGCCACCGCTAAAGAGACTTTATTAGTGATTTTTTCTAGATAGTAGTTGGTAAAACTTACAAGGGGTTACATAGATGCGCTGCGTCAGCGATTAATAAGATCCTGCCAACTCGGAAGCTGGGAGCACATCTTTGCTGGAGCTTGTACGGGCTCATGCTAACGAGTTTATACTCATTGGGCTTTGGATGTCCGATCAGAATCTGCTCAAACCGGACGGGCTGGCGCTTGACCAATTTGTCTTTTGAAAGACCCTCCGAGTCGCCGTACGTAACTCGCCAAAGGCCATCTTCTGTGATTTTAGCGGCCATGTACCAATCAGTCGGGTGGACCACGAAATTTGAGTCCCACCAGCCATGACGCTCGTCAAAGGGAAGGTAGACCTGGGAGTTTAGCGGCATGTTTCTCTGTATATCGGTAGTGGACGTACATTGGTAGCAATAATCTGCGCTCGCAGCGTCTCTCCTGGGTATTCTTTCCCGAACAGTGCAGTGCGCACACCACTTGAGGCACCGTCCGCACCAACAAGGTAGTCACCAGAGATCTTCTTCTTTTCTCCCTCAGTCGTCTCTATCACTGCTGTCGCGCTCTTATCATCCTGCTCCACGTCTATGAGTTTATGTCCCCATAGGATCTCGGTGTTCGGATAGCTTTCGAAATGTTGCACAAGTAGTGGACCAAGCTTATCTAGTGGCAGAACGACCATGGCATATTTTGAATCTTCTGGTTCGCGGCCCATACCGCCTAGAAAGGTCCCATCCGGCTCACGCCAACATACACCTTTGGGTGTGAATCCTCTTGCACGGACGTCATCAATGATACCGGCACGATGGAAATCGTATACCGCAGATGGAGCGTAATGGGCGGCCCGGGGATTGCCATTAATCTGAGTGTCAGCATCGAGAATAGTAACCTTGATGCCGAGGTTTTTTGCTAGTAGTATACCTAGCAAAAGACCAGAAGGGCCGGCGCCCACAATAACGACCTGCACGAGTCATTACTAAACGTAAAGAGTGTCGAAGGACGGCAGAACATACGTGGTTAAGCTTCGGCATGGTGGTTACTTGATAACTTACTGCTGCAAGAGCTGCAGGAACATATGTTAGAAAACGCGCATATTTTAATTACACGTCTCTCATGGTGGGGCAAGCAATTCCCCGCGCCCCAGCCCTCTCCATGACTTTCTCCTCGATGTCGCAGTCGTATCGCAGTGCGGGGAAGATCTGAACAGGGCCCCACACACGGACGTTCGGCAGCGGTGCATCATACGGCCGAGTTACCCAAAGCCACGTGACCTTGTGAGTCAGGATAGGACAGCTAGTGAGCCTCGGTGGAGTCAAGAAACAGGATCGGACATGACGTATGATGATCACATGACCCGACCTTACATAACGCAAGCACAGGCCCCGTCGTCAAAAAACCGCGCGTCACTGTTCGCTGCTATGACTTGGGAATGCGCCTAACCGCTGACGGTCTTGGACTGTCGTTGCTATTCCAAGCACATGTGACGAATGTGTTGACGAAAGATAGCCCCAACGCGTACGACTGATCAGACGTCAACAGCCGCAACCACAGTGGAGACTGACCCAGAGTCCCAGCAGCCAGCGACCGCGCCGTCACCAAGCCAACATCATCACCGCTCATCTTATCACGCCTCCTTGACGAGTCGTAGCGTCCTCTTCACCATGTGGTGATTATCATCATCATCGACATCATCATCATCATCATATTGGAGCGAACCCGAAACATCCGCTCAGATCTTCTCGCCTGTGTTAAAATGGTTGGGATACGCAGGGGCTCCCGGCGCCGCCTCGCACAAACAAGCTTTACCGGCCCTTCAAGGGTTTTCAGCCTCTTGTTCGCCACCCTCCGACACCACCATTAACAGCCCGGCGCCAAAGAACTAATCGTGCAGAATTCTCCATGCGCTCTCAACACATTCCTGCTCTTCTTATCGTTGTTGCCGCCCTGCATTCAGAATAAAACAGCAGTGCGGTTCCGCATGTTCTCGATCGATGAGACGGCAGCACCGCTCCACTGATGTTCTCTTACGGCGCTTTGAAGCCCGCTCCCACGCTGCCCCTAGATTTGTAACCATTGGGCGGAAGAGCACAGCCAGGCTTGGGCAGACCCAGTTATACCCACTCTCTCCTTATCTCGGTTTTCCTCATTAGACCTTTCCCAAGCTTTGGCACAATGAGTCCACTTTTCTGCTACCACCCTTGGAATGCATGCATGAAAATCCTGGCCATTGCGGTATCTGCGCTCCGTCAGGTGTCATCAGTCAAGAGAGGTTTATCAAATATTGTGCAATCCTATGCTGGGCACAGTTGTTTCTGTTCAAAATGCTCATAGTAAATTGTCTTCGAATGATCTACTAGATTACTTTTCACTCGGCAAATCCGCCAAGAACATACTCCAAGTACTCTTTTTCGCCGACAGCGTCATCGTCATTTCCGGAACTCGCGTCGGTTTCCCCTAAAATAAATCCGACGCCAGTGCTGTCCGCTCCCGCTGCAGTATTCAGGGATCTTGGCCTTTGCTTATTGTACAGTTTTGGTGCCTGTCAACATCTTGGTACTGGTGCTCCCGAAGTGCAAGGTCCCCTGTAGCGCTGGCTCCACCCAGCTTTTGTCATGTTACTGAGCCCAACACCGAACATTCTGGCCACTGTATTTCGACAAGAAAAATTGGGTCTGTCCGCCACTACACAACTTGAGAAGTTTCTAACTTGTCAGCTTGACGTTCGTACGCTTGCAGCACGCCCCCGCGCTAGCGGCTCTTATCAATCCCACACACCTCTTTGAAGGGGTACTTTCCCAGTCACACTGTCATGATATCCCAGTCCTGCATTCATTTTTCTCACTGATCATTACCGAGCATATCCCTAGCATACAAAGTGCAAGCGACCGTACCTGCCTGCCTAGTTATCCACTGATACCCGCACATCAGTTGGAACTACGCACTATTCATTGGAGATCCACCGCTAAGTGCGTGAACGGTTCTGGACCACAGACTGGCTTTTGAAAATCGCCGAAAGTACATTGTATGCGCACAAATCGATAGGTGCAACGTTATCTGCGCCTAATAACGGAACTCGGCGCGTTACAGATTACTGCGAGTCGAGTGGTCCGTCCTGAAGTGCCCAACTAGTCTCGCAGCAGTGCCCAAACCATACAAAACACTATGAACCCCTTTCACGATGCTGGCCCCTCTCGCCAGAACTACCTCGAAGCAGAAGAACAAATGTCTGCCACGCCTAGCAGGAAGCGTGTAGGCTGGAGCTCAGAACCCTCTGCTAGTCGCTCAGTCCAATCGCCCGAAGACACTGGCTCTGCGGGGCACAACACGCCCCTCGAACGCTCAGATGTATCACATGACGACCTTCAAAAGATCCGGGCTTCACTACGACTAGCCCTTGGAAACGAAAACCTCCCTGAAGAAGTCATCCAGGAACCTGTTACATCAAAGGACGTACAGAAACCTCGTCCAGCTATACGGAAACCCGGTCCTCGAACACCTCCACCAGAGTTCTACCTCAATGACCAGCCTAATCCCTTTGACGAGAATGCCCCATCCAGGCAGTCATCAATAGGCAAAGACCTCAAAGAGCGGTCTGGCCTTGCAGCTCAACGTCGTGCAGCAAGACTATCCAAGTCGGTCGGTACATACTCTGCTCCTGCATCACGGCGTAACTCCAATGAGCTCACCTCACCGCCGGTTGAGCTCCAGAGCATGTCACAGCAGCATGAGTCAGTGGGAGAAACAACTGATGATGATGAGGACGATCCTCGCTTCATGAAGCGCGCTTCCATGATCCTTCGACAACATACCATCCGAGAAGCCAACAACCAACCTCCACTGATCCCAGAAGACCTCTACCACGATATTAAAACTCCACTTCAATCCGGCCAGGTCACACCAGATGCGTTGGAAATTGAGGATGAGCGTGTGGTTCGACCCACCAAATACCGCACAGGAGTGCTTGGTACCTTGATGAAGATGTCAAGTAACGCTGCAGCCCCTCCAGCTGGCAAGAAAACTCTTCACCGAAGTCTCAGTACGGGCACATTCAGCGGTGCTTCGACTGCAGCCAACTCCCCGAACCCTTCACCGCCCGTCTCCGGATACTCCACTCCACGTGGAGGTCGCTCTTGGTTCCGAAATCATCATCACAATCAATCAGTTGTGTCCGTCTCCCAATTGGTTGGAGCATCGGCGCATAGCTTTGCTACCCCTGCGCAGAAAGAGCTCGGCCAGGAGTTGGATGAACAATACAAGAAGACCCGCCCTGGCATGGGAAAGCGGTCCAAATCGGACGATTCCATATTGCCGTTCAAGAGGAATAGGAAAAAGGAAGAAGAGATCAGAATCAAAATCCACCTCGCTGGTACTTTGGCGCGCCAGAACTATCTCCGCAAGCTTTGTAAGGCGCTCATGATGTACGGTGCGCCTACACATCGTCTGGAAGAATACCTGAGCATGTCTGCTCGTGTCTTGGAGATTGAGGCACAGTTCTTGTACATGCCCGGCTGCATGATCATCGCCTTCGATGACTCCTCGGTCCACACTAGTGAAGTCAAGCTTGTTCGTACCAGTCAGGGTGTCGACCTTGGCAAGCTTCGCGACGTGCATGAAATCTACAAAGATGTCGTTCACGACCGCATCAATGTTGAAGAAGCTACACCGCGTCTTGATGCCATCATAAATCGCAAGGCCAAGTTCAACAAGTGGCTTAGGGTACTGCTGTATGGATTGGCGTCTGCTACAGTCGGGCCATTTGCCTTCCAGGCTCGGTTCATCGATCTTCCCTTTTGCTTCCTGCTTGGTTGTATCATTGGATGGTTGCAACTCGTTGTCGCCCCAGGCAATGACCTCATTAGCAACGTTTTCGAAATTGGCGCATCAGTCATCACCAGTTTCGCGGCGCGGGCCCTTGGGTCTATCCGACACGATGGCAAGGAGATATTTTGCTTCAGTGCCATGGCGCAGTCCAGCATTGCCCTTATTCTACCCGGTTTCATGGTTCTCTGTGCCTCGCTCGAGTTGCAGAGTAAGCACATTGTCGCTGGCTCAGTTCGCATGGTCTATGCAATCATCTACTCCCTCTTCTTGGGATTCGGCATCACCATCGGTTCAGTCTTGTATGGAATGATGGATAAGAACGCAACCTCGCGCACAACATGCCACGACCCTATGTCGACAAACTTTTACTATCTTTTTGTTCCCGCGTTCGCGATTTGCCTTCAGATTGTCAACCAAGCCAAGTACAAGCAGATGCCATCAATGAGCATCATTGCATTCATTGGATGGATTGTCAACTTCCAAAGCTCCAAGTACTTCAAGAGTAACGCGCAAGTCAGCAACACCCTAGGCGCTCTTGCCATTGGTATTGCGGCCAACGTGCATGCTCGCTTTGGTCGTCACATTGAGAACTGGTGTCTTGATACATGGGAGATCAAGATGCGGCCTCACTTCGTGAAGTTCCGTAAGATGTACCTCAGGAAGAGTCACGGACCGCTTCGCACCCACAAGGTTGAGCGTTCAGCTTACGACCCTACACACACCAGCAGTGGCCACACTTCAAGGGCTAGCTCCATCAGTGAGTTCACGCCTCACACTCGCAAGATTGGCTACGGGTTGGCCGCTGCTGCCATGCTGCCTGCCATCTTTGTCCAAGTCCCCTCTGGTCTCAGTGTGCAAGGGTCGCTTGTATCTGGTCTTATATCGGCGGATCAAATCGTGCGCAACAGTACTGGAAACGCCACGATAATCAGCGGTGCAGATGTTGGCATGGGCAGTTCTATCAATTCTATCGCACTCGACGTCGGTTTCTCGGTCGTGCAAATTGCGATTGGTATCACCGTTGGCCTTTTCCTTGCGGCGCTCATTGTGTACCCGCTTGGCAAGAGGAGGTCGGGTCTGTTCAGTTTCTAGAACAGTCGTGTTTGGTTGAAGAGTTTGTTTAAAGCATAGTTTTGCCTACGGTGGTCATAGTAGAGGCTCACTCTACCATTTTTGTTCAAAAAGCAAGCGAGTCATGCATTTACATGGAGTTTGGAGTTTCTTTTCTTGTTGCCCACTTCCAACGACGCAACGAGTGAACAATAAAGTTAGATAATACGATTCAACACCCATTTTTCCACTACACACAATGCATGCATCATTTCTGCACAAAGCCTTTTGCTCACCGCACTTTTCTCTCGCTCCAAGTCTACGCTTTTGCCACTCTGACGATGACATCACCAGACATGTCTTGGCAATTTGGCTCGAAAGGATACACTTCCAAATTAGGGTTAGTAAATTCCGCGGCTTTCGCGCAAACGCATTCTGCCTATGTTGAGAATTCCCGTGTCTCCACCACGAACTTATGCAATAGCGGGATGGGAATGTATGAGAGGTGCGTATGCGACGTGTCACATGTGGGACGCTCCGCAATGTCGCTTGCAGCGGGTCACTGTTGTATGGGGATGAGCAGCGGCTTGCCGTTTGTCATGTTAGCGTGAGGTGATCACCGTGTATAGTTTCTTGTAGGAAAACGCGCATAACATGGACTGCAAGTAAGGGCGTACCATGCACAAAACTGCTTATTCGTATCAACCGCATTACAAGAGTCTGTTAAAAATGTAAAGACAGAGTAAAAGGCAACTGGACCAGATGTGCCATCCTCCAATCCTCTTGGCTATGTAGCTGAATAATGTCGATTATCAAGCTCGCTGTCCACGCATCCCGAACTCACCACAATGACTTTCGAGAATATTATTGTAAACCACAAAGATTCATATAAAAACTAGCAAAGAACTATGACATCAATCCCTCACCCCCAAAACGAAACAAAAAGCCACTTCACCCACCTCCAAACCCCAACCACCCTCCAACTAACCTCCGAACACCCCGACATCCACTCCGCCACATCCTCTCTCACAACCAACCCCTACCTATCCAATATCCTTTCCACCCTCGGCGCCCCCCAAAGAACAAATCACGTCGCTTTCTCCCATGGCGCTCCGATATTCAGCTCCCAAGGCGCAATGGCCTCGCCCCTCATCGAATTCGTAAAAATTTCCTTCCCGGCTGCGCGCGCTACACCAGACTTCCGCGGTAGCATCGAGCGCGATTTCCGAGTTTTCGACGAGAAATGCGTAGCTGTTGCGCGAGGAAATGGGGGTGTGGCGTTTGGGTGGGGGGTTGATGAGGAGGAGCAAGAGGGTGTTGAGGGGGGGATGGCGGTGGGGTTTTTTGTCCTGAGGGGGTGGGAGGGGATGGAGTATTTTGAGCAACTGGTGGGTACGAGCGAGTTTAAGGGGGCGATTGAGGGGTTGAAGGGGTGGGGGGCGCCGATGAACATGTGGTTTGTGCAGAGGGGAGAGTAGAGTGGGAGATGATGAAATACATTTATGATTCTCACTCAGATGTTTGGCTTTGTTTGTAGTTACTGCTAAATGAATGAGATTCAACACTCCTATAGTTATTGGTGTAACTATAGCTATTATTTTCGTGCTAGTAGCACTGCTAAGCTGTATCTTCTGGAGGACGCGTCGCCATGTAAAGGCATCAAAAAAAAATTCGCTATGAAGCCCTTGAGGCCCACTACATGCTGTCCCAATCACCTAAGTAGTACAACCCTAGTATGAAGGCTCGGAAGAAAAGAGCTCCAAAGACGATTCAGCTGAGGCTTAGATACGGTATTAAAACCATTTCCTGGTATAGCCATCGTGAGAAATACTGTGAAATCAAACGTATTTGTGACTATAGAACCCGGTAAATAAGGAAGCTTTGACTATTACCTCGCAGCTGTCCGAACCCAATAGTCGCATCCCGCCAACACACCTTCACAGATTCATTCCGTTTGCATGCTTGCTGTAGCACCCTTTCAATCTCACTGTGCTCTTTGTGTACTTTAGTGCCGGTTTCGACCTGCAAAGACCAAATGAGAGCTCCGGGAGGTTGCTGAACATGGCTTGCAAAGGCTAATATTTTATGTGCGGCTAGGATTTGGCTCTCGAATCTTACGCGGTACTGAATTCTCCTAGATAGAAGAGTAATAGCGGTACATGTAACTAACGTCCCTCCCTGAGTGCTGGGACACCCGCCGTGCTGGTGTGATGGGCTATGCCCTTGATGACTTGGCTATGCCAAGTAAGCGATTAGCGTGGTACGCGGGGCCCGCTGATCCCGAGTATATATATCCAGCTACCATGACAACAAGACAAGCTTGTTGTCTTGTGCCAACCTTTTGGTCAAGTGGACGGCGCGAGTAGCTGCGCGCGCGGTTATTTTAACCCGCCCATTACAGCTGGGACAAATGAGGGGTACATTGACTTTCACTACTTCGCTTTCTTCGCACATCCCGATAATCGTTGTAAATCTATATCAGCAATAGTTAGTTATACTAGAGCTATTAATAAGCTCGTTCCTATTCTCTTACCTAAAAATTACGTTGCTATTGCTGCCCTTTTACGAATGTTACAAGCAGCCTTTATTACGTGCATAACAGCACTGCTCTGCTATAGCACTACTTAGAAGCTTTTGGTATCTATTGCATATATAGGAAGTTAGTACCTGGCCCTAAGAACCTCTTATTAGCGCGGCAAGCCATTATCAGCCTTGCGCCTGCTGTAATGTCTAAAGCTATGCAGGGTCGCTACGCGGATCGCTACTTTGGCTAGCGGTAAGCGACCCCGCACGTCTGACGTAATAACCTTGAGTGTAACGTGTGGGATTTGGGGTGCCCAGCTTACTGATCTGCCCAGCTTACTGATCCAACACGTTAACTAACTAGTTAACTAGTTATCTAACTAATATACTTACTGTGGCTGATACATCTGTGGCTATGTAAGGTCTTGACTGTATCTGATATAGCGCGTCCTGTTCAGCGCTTTATTTCTGTCACGTGACAGATCTCTCTTGATCGGCCATGCCCGCGCTTATTGTTGCACGCAAATCCCCTGTGCCCATCACCACGTTTGCTATTGTTAGCTAAACCAAACTGGCACATCTATAGTTACCTAAGTTCTTGTATTGCTGTATCTTCATGAGCTAAACGAGAAGCACCTGCCCGCCTGTTGGCGTGGCTGAAGCATGCAGGCTGCTCAGCATGTGGCAGCCTCACTCACAGCCTGGGCTGCGCCTCCTATCTCGCACACCCGCGACACAGCCTGTCGCCATCACGAACCCTCTGCGAAGCTGCTAAGTTGGATTTGAATATAACACCCAAGTCGACGCGCTCTGTCCGCCACCCCTACCAGTAACGACCATTGTCCCTAATGAGCGAACGGGCCGCCATACTCCATCGATCCTTCTTCCGCTATCGCTAGCCTTACATCCTCTGTTTACGAAGCGATGCGACTCTTACACTGGACAAGTGGCGACAAGCTTGCCTTAACAGAGGACTTGATCGGTGACGATAAGATCCCGCCCTACGCGATACTCTCTCATACCTGGAACGAGGGTCAAGAAGTAATCTTCGACGATCTAGTGAAGAACAGCGGAGAGAGTAAGACAGGATACGACAAGATCCGCTTTTGCGCATCCCAAGCCAAGCGTGATGGTCTGGGCTATTTCTGGATAGACACGTGCTGCATCAACAAGGCGAACCATGCAGAACTTTCGGAAGCGATCATTTCTATGTTTCGCTGGTATAAGAACGCAGAAAAGTGCTACGTGTATCTTTCTGATGTTTCTAGCAGATCTTCTGGAGAAAGCAGCGATGCGCACAGGAAGCGGAAACCTGTAATTAGGAAGAGCAGGTGGTTCACGAGAGGGTGGACACTTCAAGAGCTGATCGCTCCAGCATCCGTTGAGTTCTTCTCTAAGGAGGGAGAGCGGCTTGGTGATAAAGTGTCTCTGATAGAGACACTTTATGAGATCACTGGAATCGATGTACAAGCGCTTAGAGGCAGTCCGGTGACAAGCTTTACTGTGGACGAACGGATGCGGTGGGCACAAGGACGCAATACGAAGCGTGAGGAAGACGCAGCTTACTGTCTTCTGGGTATCTTCGATGTTCAGATGCCGCTTCTGTACGGAGAGGGGCGGGAGAAGGCTTGGCAGCGGTTGCGGCGAGAGATTCGAGAGCACCTCTCGATTAACTTGCCTGTTGCAACAGGTGCTTCTTTCAACTCCCATAGCGAGGAACACAACGCACGATGCCTGCCAAATACCCGCACTGAGCTACTGGACTCGATTGTAATGTGGGCGAACAACAAGGCTAGCAAACCTATATTCTGGCTGAGTGGGATGGCTGGCACAGGGAAGTCTACGATTGCACGGACAGTCGCTGGGTCGTTTGTTAGCTGCAGTCAGCTAGGAGCAAGCTTCTTTTTTAAGAGAGGTGAAGGCGAGCGCGGCAACGCTTCACGCTTCTTTACCACCATCGCCACTGATCTAGCCGCCTGCGAGCCGGGCATGCTAGTCGGGATTAAGAAGGCGCTTGATGAGGACTCGGCTATCTCACAGCGAGCTCTAAAGGACCAGTTTGAGAAACTAATCCTACAACCACTCCTAGGCATACAACAGGCTCGTTCGCAGGGCTCGGCGCGTGTTATCGTGATAGACGCGCTAGACGAGTGTGAGCAGGAAGCAGACATTCGGGCGATCCTCAAATTGCTTGCTCAAACAAAAGACATCCGCCCAGTGCCGCTGCGGATCGTGGTGACTAGCCGGCCAGAGCTCCACATCCGCCTAGGCTTTAGGGAGATGCCAAACGGCACGTACCAAGACCTCGTTCTCCACGAAGTACTAAGGAACACAATTAAACACGACATCCGTCTATTCCTAGAGCATGAGCTCGGTGTGATACGAAAAGAACGCAAGTTGGCTCCAGACTGGCCAGCGCAACAACAGATCCTTGCGCTGGTTGAGCTCGCTGTGCCGCTGTTCATCTATGCTGCCACAGTGTGTCGGTATATTGGCAGTAAAGGAGGCGACCCTGAAGTGTACCTGAATAAGGTCTTGCAGTATCCAAAAACAGCTTTTTCACAGCTCGACCAAACCTACCTTCCCGTCCTGGACCAGTTGCTTGATGATCAGGAAGAAAGAGATAGAGAAGACTGGCTGCGTGTCTTTCGTGAACTCTTAGGTAGCATAGTCATCTTAGCGAGCCCACTTCCTGTCGGCCCCCTTGCGCGCCTTCTCCAAGTTCCGATGAAACAAGTCGAATGTCGATTAGATGCCTTACACTCCGTTCTTAGTATTCCTGACAGGGAGGATATTCCTGACAGGGAGGATATTCCTATCAGGCCACTGCACCTATCCTTTCGCGAGTTCCTCCTCGACCCCCAAAAGCAAGGAAAGAACCTATTCTGGGTAGATGAGAAAAGGACGCACCAGAAGCTTGCATCTCGCTGCCTTGAGCTTATGTCTAGATCTAGCGGTCTTCATCAGGACATGTGTGGCCTCCCAGGCTCTGGAGTGCTGAGGAGCGAGATAGATGAGCAGACAGTTGCTACTAGCCTGCCACCTGATCTACAATATGCGTGTCGCTACTGGGTTGACCATCTCAAGCAGAGTAGGCACGGCATCGTTAACGGAGACGCGACGCACCTCTTTCTACAGAAGCACCTTCTTCATTGGCTTGAAGCTATGAGTCTTGTAAGAGAATCGAGCAGATGCGTTAACTTACTAGATAGCCTTCAGGCACTTACTAGCGTAAGATCCTTACAAAACACTCTCCTGATGCTCTACTAATATGCAACATAGCCATCGGCAAAGCTAGTTTTAGGCTTTCTTCACGACGCTAAGCGATTTGTGCTGCGGTTCCAGTCTCTTCTTATAGATGCGCCGCTGCAGGTTTATTACTCTGCACTAGTATTTGCGCCAGAGAGGAGTCTAATACGGCAAACATTTGTAGATCAAGTGGCAGAAAAGGTTAAGATGCTGTCTATGCGAGAAGCAGACTGGGACGCATGCCGCAGCACGCTCGAAGGTCATTCCTCCTATGTCAGCGCGATAGCCTTCTCGCCAGACGGGCAGCTGGTCGCGTCGGCATCTGACGACAACACAGTACGGCTGTGGGAGGCGGCGACAGGGACGTGTCGCAGCACGCTCGAGGGCCATTCCGACTATGTCAGCGCGATAGCCTTCTCACCAGACGGGCAGCTGGTCGCGTCGGCATCTG